TGTGCCAGTTCGAGGAGCTTTTTGGATGAGTCTTTAGGGTTTTCTAGGTATACAGTCATATCATCAGCAAACAGCCACAGTTTGACTTCCTCTACCGATTTGGATACCTCTGACTTCTTTCTCTTGTCTGATTGCTCTAGCTAGGACTTCCAGTACTGTGTTGAATAGAAGTGGTGAAAGTGGACATCCTTGTCTGATTTCATTTCTCAGGGGGAATGATTTCAGCTTTTCCCTGTTCAGTATAATGTTGGCTGTGGCTTTGTCATAGATAGCTTTCATTACCTTAAGGTGTGTCCCTTCTATGCCCATTTTGCTGAGGGTTTTAACCATAAAGCGATGCTGGATTTTGTCAAATGCTTTTTCTGCATCTGTTGAGATGATCACGTGATTCTGGGTTTTAATTCTGTTTATGTGGCGTATCACATTTACTGAGTTGTGGATGTTAAACCATCCATGCATCCCTGGTATGAAACCCACTTGATCATAATTTTTTGTTAGGTCCTTTCCTGGTTTTTATACTAGGGTGATACTAGCGTCATAGAATGATTTAAGGAGGAGCCCCTTTTTCTCTGTCCTCTGGAATAGTGTCAATAGGATTGGTGCTGGTTCCTCTTTGAATGTCTGACAGAATTCAGCTGTGAATCCTTACGGTCCTAGACTTTTACTTACTGGCAATTTAAAAATAATTACCATTTCAGTCTTGCTGCTTGTTATTGGTCTGTTTGGAGTTTCTATGTCTTCCTGGTTTAATGTAGGAGGGTTGTGTATTTCCAGGAATTTATCCATCCCCTCTAGGTTTTCTAGTTTAGGTGTGTAAAGGTGTTCATAGTAGCCTTGAATAAACTTTTGTATTTCTGTGGTATCAGTAGTAATATTTCCCATTTCATTTCTAATTGAGCTTATTTGGATCTTCTCTCTTCTTTTCTTGGTTAATCTTGCTAATAGTCTGTCAGTTTTATTTATCTTTTCAAAACCAGCCTTTTGTTTCATTTCTCTTTTGCATTTTTTTTTGTCTGTTTCAATTTCATTTAGTTCTGTTCTGATCTTTGTTATTTCTTTTCTTCTGCTGCATTTGGGTTTAGATTTTTCTTGTTTCTCCAGTTTTGTGAGATATGGCTTTAGATTGTTTGTGCTTTTTCAGACTTTTCGATGTAGGCATTTAATGCTCTGAACTTTCCTCTTAGCACAGCTTTTGCTGTATCCCAGAGGTTTTGATAAGTTGTGTCACTGTTATTGTTCAGTTCAAAGACTTTTTAAATTTCGATCTTGATTTAATTGTTGACCCAACAATCATCCAGGGGCAGGTTATTTTATTTCCATATATTTGCATGATTTTGAGGGTTCCTTTTGGAGTTAATTTCCAATTTTATTCCACTGTGGTCTGAGAGAGTACTTGATATAATTTTGATTTTCTTAAATTTACTGAGACTTGTTTTGTGCCCTATCATATGTTCCATCTTGGAGAATTTTCCATGTGCTGATGAATAGAATGTATATTCTGCAGTTGTTGAGTAGAATGTTCTGTAAATATCTGTGAAGTCCATTTGTCGTAGGGTATAGTTTAAGTCCATTGTTTCTTTGTTGACTTTCTGTCTTGATGACCTGTCTAGTGCTGTCAGTGGAGTGTTGAAGTTCCCCACTATTATTATGTTGCCATGTATCTCATTTCTTAGGTCTATTAGTGATTGTTTTATAAATTTGGGAGCTCCAGTGTTAGGTGTATATATATTTTGGATTGTGATATTTTACTGTTGGACTAGTCCTTTTATTGTTATATAATGTCCCTCTTTGTTTTGTTTAACTGCTCTTGCTTTAAAGTCTGTTTTGTCTGTAAGAATAGCTACTCCTGCTCACTTTTGGTGTCCATTTGCATGGAATGTCATTTTCCACCCCTTTACTTTAAGTTTATGTGAGTCTTTATGTGTTAGGTGAGTCTCCTGAAGACAGCAGAAATTTAGTTGGTGAATTCTTATCCATTCTGCCATTCCATATCTTTTAAGTGGAGTATTTAGGTCATTTACATTCAGCGTTAGTACTGAGACATGAGGTACTATTCTATTCATTGTGCTGTTCGTTAGTATTGAGATGTGAGGTACTATTCTATCCATTGTGCTGTTCGTTAGTACTGAGATGTGAGGTACTATTCTATTCATTGTGCTGTCTGTTGTCTGACTACCTTGTGTGTTTTTTTTTATTGTGTTATTGTTATATAGGTCCTGTGAAATTTCTGCTTTAAGGAGGTTCTATTTTGGTGTATTTCAAGGATTGGTTTCAAGATTTAGAGCTCCTTTTGACAGTTATTGTAGTGCTGGCTTGGTAGTGGCGAATTCTCTCAGTATTTGTCTTAAAAGACTGTATCTTGCTTCATTTATGAAGCTTACTTTGGCTGGACACAAAATTCTTGGCTGATAATTGTTTTGTTTACGGAGGCGAAAAATAGGACCCCAATCCCTTCTAGCTTATCGGGTTCTGTTACAGAGGGGGTTCATAGACCTCACACAAGAAGGAATTCTGGGTGAGTCCACAGAGTAAAGTGAAAGCAAGTTTATTAGGAAAGTAAAGGAACAAAAGAATGGCTACTCCATAGGCAGAGCAGCCCCGAGGACTGCTGGTTGCTCATTTTTATGGTTATTTCTTGATGATATGCTAAACAAGGGGTGTATTATTCATGCCTCCCCTTTTTAGACCATCTAGGGTAACTTCCTGATGTTGCCATGGCATTTGTAGACTGTCATGGCACTGATGGGAGCTTAGCAGTGAGGACGACCAGTGACCTCTGGTCACTTTGGGTTTTGGTGAGTTTTAGCTGGCTTCTTTACTGCAACCTGTTTGATCAGCAAGGTGTTTATGACCTGTATTGTGTGCCAACTTGAGTCTCATCCTGTGACTTAGAATGCCTTAACGGTCTGGGAATGCAGCCCAGTAAGTCTCAGCCTCATTTTACTCACTGTGTGCCACCATATGCCTTTTGAACTTCAAGATGGAGTTGCCCTGGTTCACATGCCTCTGACAGTTTCTGCTCAGAAATCTGCTGTTGCTCTGATAGGTTTTCTGTTATAGGTTACCTGATGCTTTTGCCTCACAGCTCTTAAGATTCTTTCCTTTGTCTTTGCTTTGGATAACCTCTTGACTGTGTGCCTAAATGATGAGTTTCCCAGGTATTTGAGCTTCTTGTATTTGGATGTCTAGATCTCTAGCAAGGCCAGACAAGTTTTCCTTGATTATTTCCTCAAATAGTGTTTCCAAACTTTTAGGTTTCTTTTTTTCCTTGGGAACACCCATTATTCTTAGATTTGCGTGCTTCACATCATCCCAAACTTCTTGCTTTGCTCATTTTAAAAAATTCTTTTGTCTTTGTCTTTGATGGATTGGGTTAACTCGAAAGCCTTGTCTTCAAGCTCTGAAGTTCTTTCTTCTGCTTTTTCGATTCTATTGCTGAGACTTTGCAGTGCATTTTGCATTTCTGTAAGTGTTTCTTTGGTTTATAGAAGTTGTGATCGTTTTTTATTTATGCTATTTCACCGAAGAATTTTCCTTTCATATTCTGTATAAGTGTTTGATTTCTTTAAGTTGGAGTTCACCTTTCTCTGGTGCCTCCTTTATTAGCTTAATAATTAACCTTCTGAATTCTTTTTCTGGCACTCCAGATATTTTATCTTGGTTTGGATCCGTTGCTGGTGAGCTGGTGTGATATTTTGGGGGGTTGTTAAAGAGCCTTGTTTTGTCATATTACCAGATCGTTTTTCTGGTTCCTTTTCATTTGGGTGGACTATGTCAGAGGGGAGATCTGGGACTCAAGGGCTGCTGTTCAGATACCTTTGTTTCAAGGGGTTCTCCCTTGATGTGGTGTTCTCCCTCCTCCCCCAGGGATGGAGCTTCCCGAGAGCCAAACTGCAGTGATTGTTTTTGCTCTTCTGGGTCTAGCCACCCAGTGGAGCTACTGGGCTCTGGGCTGGTCCTGGGGAGTGGCTGCTGAGAGACCTGGGGTGTAATGGAGGGCGCGGGGCGAGAAGTGGACTCTGCAGGGTCCTTGGTTGTGTTTTTGTTCAGTGTGCTGGTTTTGTGTTGGTTGGCCTCCAGCCAGGGGTTGGTGCCTTCAGGAACACATCAGCTGTGGTCCTGTGGGGAGGAAGCAAACTTGCCCTAAGGTTGCCTGGTTAGGTATTCAGGTTTCTTAGGTGGTGGGCAGGGCCATAGAGCTCCCAAGAGATTATGGCCTTTGTTTTTGGCAGCCAGGGCTGGTAGAGAAGACCACCGGGGGCAGGGATAGGTGTGTCTGAGCTCAGATTCTCCTTGGGCGGGGATTGCTGCGGCTGCTGTTGGGAGGGCGATGTGGTTTTCAGTCTAATGGAGTTATGTTCCTGGGGGGATTATGGCTGCTTCTGCTGGGTCACACAGGCCGCCAGGAAAGTGGGGGAAAGCCAGCGGTCACAGGCCTCATCCCGCTCCCACGCAGCCCGCAGTCCCGAAGGCTGGTCTCACTCCCACCGTGTCCCCACGGCAGCACGGAGTCTGTTTCCAGGCAGCTGGTGACTGTGACTGAGAACTTGCCCCAGACCACCAGCCTCCCTGCTGAGCAAGCAAGCGGCTCACATCTTTTCAGAGTCTCAGGGAGCCTGCAGTGGCGATACAGTTCCGTCAAAGGGTCTGTGGATTCTCTTAGTTTACCTGGTATGTTGCTGTGGTGGTTCTTGGATCAAAAATTCACAGTGTGAGTCCCCACACGCTGCTCAGTCTGTGACTGGGAGCCGCAAGCTAGTCCTGCCTCTTCCCTGCCATCTTCTGTGAGACCAAAGGACTTAGTTTTCTGTCAGTGTCTCACATGGAAGGTTCAAGAGGAGGCTGGCTCATCAGTGTGAAAATCCAAATCTTAAGAGACTGAACATAATGGAGTAAACAGAACATACTGGTGTCCGTATGTTGGCTTATGTTTTCTTTCTTCATCTAGGTAGTATGTTTCCCACTCATTTCTTAACACGGAATTTTTCTTTTCCCCACAGGAAGGAAAAGCTGATGCGATGCTCTCAGTGCCGCGTCGCCAAATACTGTAGTGCTAAGTGTCAGGTAAGACTTTTCAGCCATATATAAGTGAAGCTTTCAAATTATTTACTCTTAAATTTGTCCTTCACTATACCTGTTGCCTGTGTCTACTTCTTTACAGCCTTTAACTTACTTTTACTTGTTATTCACCTGCTGAGTCACACAGGTCGCCAGGGACATTAAAATGTTAAAACTAATATTAAATATATATGATGAAAAATTGGGTGTGTGTGTATATGTCTACTATGTGAAAGTCAATGTCTATTCCTCCCCATCTTATTGCCCCCTGACTTCAATTCTCATTTCCACTGTTAAGTTTCTCATGTGTCTATGCAGCATTTACTTGTGCAGACATGTTTGTATATCTATATCCTATGTTTAAAAAAACAAATATACGTTTGTATATATAAAGTACACGTATTCTTGTGTACTTTGATTTTTTTTTTTTTCATTTAACAATCTACTTTGAGGAACATTTTGTATCCCATATGTTTCATTGTATGAATTGACCATAATAACAATTTCTTTGTTGATGAATACTTAGAACTTTTATAATATTTGGTATTGCCAATAATGCACTTCACATCCTGTCTTGCACATTTTTGCACGCTTCCCCAAATTAACAGTAGGATAAATTCTTCTTATTGTATTGATTGTTGAAAGGATATATGCCTTTTGAATTTTTAGAGATAATGCCAAATTTCCTGCCAAGAGTTTGAGTTAATTCACGAGTACTGTTGTTAACATCTTTGAAATTCTTGAAAGGATGTATAATTAACATTCAACATGACCTTTTCTTCTAACCTTATGATTAATCATTTAATAAGAAATGTAATTATGTCCTAATGAGTTACATCTTATTAAAAAGTCTAATTAGAGGTTTTGTGTCTGTGTCACTTGCCTCCTCCCCGCCACCCTCCACTCATCCTTTTTGTTTCTTGTGTTTTGTATATGCACACCTCCAGAATTTCTTCTTTCCTTCTTTTAAATTGAGGCCATGCTTGTCTCAGGGATTTTCTTCTCTCTTATTTTCTCCTTTGAAAGTAATTTCTTGAGACTACACAAAAAATGGTCTTAATGGAAAAGAAATCAAATGTACAAAAATATCAGGGGTTCCAGGTTCTCATGCTAATTCTGGCATTTGCTGGTTAAATTATCTCAGGGAAAATACAAACTGTGTGGGCCTCAGTTTCTGAATCTGTACTGACAATAACAGTTAATATTTATTAGGCATCTACTGTGTGCCAGGCACTGTATTATTCCATTTGGTTTTCCAAGACTCTTGTGAGAATTAGGTACTATTATTATGCTCATTTTATTAATAAGGAAAATGAGGACAAAGAGGCAGCCAACTTGCCAAATATTCTATAACTAGTAGGCTCGGAAGTTTCAGATGTGAAACTCAGGTATTCAGACTTTCAACTGCTCTTTTAAACCTAAATTCTGTTCTTGCTCCAACATTATGATTAGGTCTAGTTTTCCATTATATATTGTATTATTCTTTTGTTTCTTGGCTTTTGGGTTTTTTTTTTTTTTTTTGGAGACAGTCTTGCTTTGTCTCTTGGACTGGAGTGCAGTGGTGTTATCAAGTTCACTGCAGTCTTGAAATCCTGGGTTCAAGTGATCTCCCTGCCTCTGTCTCCTGAGCAACTGGGACTACAGGTACATGCCACCATGGCCAGCTAATTAAAAAATGTTTTTTAATGGGGATGAGATCTCACTGTTTGCCCAGGCTGATGTTAAACTCCTGAGCTCTGGTGATCCTCTGCTTTGGCCTCCCAAAGTGCTGGGATTACGGGTGTCGGCCACTGTGCCCAGCCAGTATAGTACTTTCTAATTAAAATAGGATAAGAAATTTCAAAATGACTGTATTATTTCCACCTCATTTTTTATACAAAAGTTTTGTCGAAGCTAGAAAGATCCCTGATTTATGTCAGATTGTTACCAACAAGAAGTAACTAAAAGCAAAAAGTGAAACATTAATACTGCTTTTTATACAGTGTTTGTTCCAGAAAAGTTGTTTTATGGTGATGTTCTGGTTGTGTTATTCATGTGAAGCTCAGCTATTTGTTTCTAGGAACTTCAGATTAAACAGAGTACATAGAGAAGCGACAAATTATCCTATTATTTGACACAAATCTAGGCAAACTTGCTTTCTAATCTCAATGACCTAAACAGTTTATTAATAAAACATTTAATAAACAGTTTACTTAATAAAACATTTTTTTCCCCTGTTTTATGAGTATTTTTCCTCTAGTGCCACTTCATCCTTTTGTAGTACACTCAAGGAGGAGAAAAGCCATTATCTGATTAGAATGAGTAGCAGGAGTTTGGTGGGTGGGTATGTCATTTTGATGTATTGTAGTGCATGTGTTTTTACTACATATATTAGCTGTTTACTGGAGCATCAATAATAATGTCACTGTCAGATATACTGTGGAAGGTAACGGGAAAACAGCTAGCAAGATGAAGGATATATATAATAACAGCTAGAGTATGTATTTGTATGTGTGTGGAGGGGGAGTTAAAGATTGGCCAGAACATATGCATTTAAACTGCTGTGTTTATCCCAACCTTAAAATACAGCATTAAACATTGTAATTATTGTGGATACCCACAAAGCTGCGCAAAATTAAATGACAGATTGAACTGTGAACAGTAATGAACAGAACGCAAAAGCACTTGGAATGGAAATTGATACAGAGGATGTAAATCTGTAGTATAAAATCCATAATATGTGTTCCCCAGGGGGACATGATTTTGGTTCACTAGCTTAGCATTTGATGTGTGGGACCGTGCCATCAAGTTGTCTGAGAGAGGCTATTGGGGTACTGCAGGGTGTAACATGTGCCTTGTGCCCACAGGATGGTGTCAGTGCTATTGGTATTCACATTTCTTCTTTTTTCTTTTTCTTTTTCGTTTTTCTTTTTTCTTTTTTTTTTGAGACGGAATCTTACTCTGTTGCCCAGGCTGGAGTGCAGTGGCGCCGTCTCAACTCCCTGCAACCTCCACCTCCCAGGTTCAAGCAATTCTGGTGCTTCAGCCTCCCCAAGTAGCTGGGACTACAGGCGTGTGCCACCACGCCCAGCTAATTTTTTTGTATTTTAGTAGAGATGGGATTTCACCATGTTGACCAGGCTGGTCTCGAGCTCCTGAGCTCAGGCAATCTACCAGCCTTGGCCTCCCAAAGTGCTGGGATTAGAGGCATGAGCCCACCACATCCGGTGCACATTTCATTTTCAAACATAAGTAATACAAGGATATGTTTTCCTATAAAAACATCGTATAGAATCATACAGAGTAAAACATAAAAGTCTTTCTCCAGCTTCCTTCCCACACTTCTACTTCTGTTTTTCAGAGATAATCCAAATGTGTCTATTTTATGGATGGAGGATATATACCAAACTATTGGTCTGTGCATCATATATAGTATACACATCGACATATGTATTTACTCCTGTGTACAGTACTGTTTCTGTTACTGGTCAAAATATTTTTGTCATCAGTGGCTTTATATTCCTGTCTCTACCTTGTTATGAGGTGTCTATCATATAATTTAATAGAAGGAGGTCCAGTCTTTTTTCTCTATTGGCATAAACAGAACATCACACATGATTCCAGGATCGGAGAGGAGGAGCAGGCTAAATTTTCTTATAAAAAAGCATTTTCCAAACAAAAAATGGCAGCAATGGTGATAGCAAGTAAGTCAATTTCAAGTAATTCACCAAGTATTATTTTACCTTTTCAGGATTTAATTTGATTTATAATATATACATTTCTAGTTGAATGAATTAATTGCCGAGCAAAATAAGCAGTTAGGCACTACATGAAGTGGTAATTTATATACTTTTCAAAAGCACTGTTTTAGCAGATACAAGCTCTATTTTATATGGATAATTACAGACCTCTTTAAAAATGTGAATTGTATTTTTGGGTTTACATTTTACGCTTAGTTGTAGACTGATTTGATTCCTATTTGATGGGTAGAAAATTAATCCCGCATTAGTAAGCACTTAGCAGAGTGATTTAATAAGTTGGTTTCTAGACTGCCATACCCAAGGCCGTGATAAGGAAGGAAGTCAAGCTTTGTTTACTTCATAAATGTTCTGTGCTCGGCCTCAAACTGATAGGCTTTGCATGGAATGTACTGTAGATAAGTCAGCTTTGTATCTACCTGTAAACACAAAGGAAATGCTACATAAAGTTTAAAACGATTTGGTCGATTTGGTCGTATTTCAGTGTTTGACCTCCACAGGTGTCTGGAGCCGGAAGTTTTTCTTTTCTCCCTTTACCTTTGCCTGCTGCGTGATCTTATCTACTCCCATTACTTCAAGGGGCATCTGTATATTATTCCTTCTCAGGACTCCGTCTCCAGCCTCCTTTCTCCTGATTTCCACTTGGCTGTTGCACAGGTGTCTCTGGGGTAACATGTCTAAGTCTGAGTACATTATCTTCCCCTAGACCCCCTTCCCTTCATGTTTTCCAGCCTCAGTGAACAGTTTCACCAGCCACCCAGCAGTCTGAGTTGCCAGGTGTCATCTCCGATTCTCATCCTTTCCTGTCCACACATCCGTTTAATCATCACGTTGTGCTGATTTTACTATCTCACTACCTAAAGATCTGAAGTGGTTCCCTTCTCGCCAGCTTCTCTAGTACTACCTGTTACATCGGTCCTCCCTTTCTAGTACTACCTGTTACCATGGTCTCCTTCTCTAGTACTACCTGTTACCATGGTCTCCTTCTCTAGTACTACCTGTTACCATGGTCTCTTTTCTGGGTTAGCTTCATGGTTACTACGATGCTTTCCCACTTCTAATTTAGTTTCTACACAGGAGTTAGAGTGATGATTATGCTCTAAGTCCTGGGGGTTGGTATGATAAGTAATAGGCAGTGAGCCAGTAAATAAGATCCTGACTTTGGTAAAGCTTCTGTTATGGAGTAGAGAGACAGTGACAGATGCCCATGATTAATTATATGATTGACTGTGGTTGGGCTGAGCACAGACTCACCTGTGTGTAGGTGGA